TATGAATTAACAAGGCCAAAATAGGGAGGGGTTAAAGGGGTCCCTCAGTTTCATTTAGTATCCCCTTTCCTTCGCCTTTTCTCTTATTTTTGGACATCTAAAAACCGCAAGTGGAAGGCGCATCCATTAGTCTCGTGACTTTTGTCACCATTCAACAAGATGAGAGACAAAAACGTCAGGCGGGGAGGGGGAGGGGAAAGATCAAAGAGAACGACAGGCGGCAGGGGGAGGGGAACCATGTCCAAAAGAGTCACTTCACAACAATCTTCTCAGGCGGTGGAGATTTTTGTCGTGATAAAACCATTACACCTTTCATTCTACAAATTGTCTTTCTTTTGTGTTTTTTTCGTCTTGCAACAGATCTGTTCCGCTATATAAAAAGTGCTGTATTATTTTTTAGTTGCTCATGCAAACTAGCTGTTCCCTATTTTGCTTTATTGGTTGTTTTTTGTTATTGTTTGTTTCTTGTTTTGTTTTGTTTAATGCTGTCATTATTTAGATACTGGATCTACTAAAAAATGTACTCAATTCTGCAGTCAAAAATCCAGATTTTTTTTTTCAAGTCTCGTTCTGTCCCTCTCTAGCTGGTTATTTACGTTTAATACATTGTTTTATTTTGTTTTGTGTGAAAAAAAGAAAGGAAATATGTTATTTTTTATATTTGTTGTTGTCTATATAGGCCACAAGATAATTATCATGACCAGGGGCGGCGATTTCTTTTCATGACCGGGGGGAGGGGGCGAAATGTGAGGGACGAGGGAGCAGTGGCGTAATGAGCAAAAACTTTTTTTTTTTTTTTGGGGGGGGGGCAGGAAATAAAAAATCTTCATCATCCCCACGTTTGCATGAACAATTACATACAGGCCCCGCGGAACGTTTTTCAAAGTGGTGGGGGCCTGGGGGGGGGCTAAAGTATTTACGATCAGGTAGAGCAAAGCGAGCGAAGCAAGTGGCGTGTAAATTTGCGTGGGGTCCAGGGGCGTAGCCCCATGAAGCTCAGGGGCTTTAGAAATTTAATAATGGCCAGATGAGCATCCAGGGGCCGCGTTAAGGCACCCGGTGCATGGGGTCCAGGGGGAGGGGCCCGGAAGCTCAGGGATTTTAGGCATTTGATTACGGTCAGATGAGCATATTTTTATACCTTATTTGTCGGACAGTGCACTGTAAAAAAATAATAGTCGAAATAACTCAATAAAATTGAGGAAAAGAATTGCCTTATTTTTATTAAGTAAATATTACCTACGGCATCTTAAGTAGAATTTACTTATTTTGCTGAATAAATTTGTACCCAGTTAAATCGAGTTACATTAAAGTAAATAATTTAAGTATTGTAATCATTTTAGATAATTAAAAAAAAGCTATGATAGGATTACATATTGCACGATTTGGTACCCATCTAATCTAACAAGTAACATCCACTAATCATTCACTACTTCTATTTAAGATTTAACCGTGTATATATACCACCATCACAAACTATTACATACGCTTCAATTCGACACATATTGAAAGGCTCCAAATTTTATATATACTTGATCGTAGCATCTTAAAAGGAAAATTGGTTGACAATTTCCTGAAATATCAAGTTTTGATTTGTTTTGAACTGGGTAACAATATAAAATTGTCTTGTCTTTGCTTAGCCATGTTAAATGAATTAGTAAATGTTTTAAAGTCCTTAAATTTTCATTCAACCACAAAAAAGAATTGTTTTATTTAAAAAAAGAGTTTAATTTGGTCTTAATGAATATTCATAAATTATGTAAATATTTCTATTACGCACTGCATCGGTCCTTACTTTAAAAAGATAAGAATAATCAACATAAATTGTTTGAGTAATACGTATAATTTCTGATTTTGAGTTAAAATTACTAAATTAATACAAACTGAAATTACTTAAAGTTCTTATGTATTTGATTTTACTTAAATATTCCACGTATGTTCTACTAAATTGAAAGTTTGAGTTAGCAAGACTTAAATTTAGTGCGTAAGTGGCAAAACTAATGTTTTCAAGTAAATTCTACATGGAAATAATACGTAAAAATTACCAATGAACAAATTCTTTTTTACAGTGTGGCATGCGGGTCACTAATTGGAGTAGATTGATTGATTGATTGATTTTTATTCGACAAGCTTCCAACATACAACAATATACAATAATAACAGATCAAAAAAAGTCAGCTTGAACAGGATAACCCACGAAAGCTCGAGAGCTTATTTCCAGTGGGGTCCCTTACAGACATGTATAAAATTAATAAGTTAAAATAGTAATATTTACAGACAGATAAGAAAATTAAAAGAACTACTTATTAAAGATAATAATAATAATAACAACATTAAACTGATGATAGAAATGATATTAAGTACAAGAAGAAAAAGAAGAAGGAGAAGAAGAAAAAGAGGAGAAGGAAGAAGAGGAAAATAATGATGAATTTGTAGAATTTCTATAACGTACGAAAACATAAGTATATACAACATGAAAAAGTATGAACCGACAGAAGAATAAAAATTTCAATCATATAACATGTCATTCACTTCTCTTAGGGTAAAGGGGGCGTAGCCCCAATAATCTAAGGGATTTTAGGCATTAGATTATGATCAGATAAGCATCCAGGGGCTGCCTGAGGGCTCTAGGGGGGGGGGGGGTCCAGTGGGCAGAGCACCGGAAGCTAAGGTTTCTGAGGCACTTAATTACGGTCAGATGAGCATCCAGAGGCCCGCTTTAGGGCCCTGGAGGGGTCCAGGAGGCGGAGTCCCCGGAAACTGAGGGTTTTTAGGCATTTAATTACGGTCAGGTGAGCAACCAGGGGCCAGCCTTGAGCCCCCTGAAGCTCGAAAACCATGCCATGTTAGCAACATTTGTAAATCAAAGGTATCGAATAAGAAATAAACCACGTTTGAATTTTATTATGGGGGCAACTGCCCCAAAGCTCCCCCTCCCCCATCAATCCGCCAGTGCGAGGGAGCATAGTGAACGAGAGGGGTGAAGGTGACGGAAGTAAATATACCCCCTCATAGCATTTTGAAGTATTGTTGTATCAAAGAAATACATTCCTTAGCAAAACTGTTGTATAAAAATAGGCAATATACTTTTTTTCACACTTCACTTAGCGTAGCTATATACCGGACGAGAAGATTTTTTGCATTTTTTATTTGTCTAAACGCTGCACTCTTGGGTCCTCCAGGGCCTATAAGGGCCTCAAATTTTCCGAGATGGACGATCCCCCCTAAAAAAAAATTAGGGGGAAACTGTCCCCCCCCCCCCCCCGGATCGCCGCCACTGATCATGACTGCTGCCCCGATTTTCTGTAGCACTCACTCCTCCAGCCAGAACATTTAAATATCAATATATTCCTCATTATTTTATTCGATTCGAGTTTGTTTTAGTTTATGATCAAAATAATATAGTTATTTGGGTGGACTCGATTACATCTTACAACTCTTCATTTTTATAGTAATTAAGCGTTAGCGAATGCAAACATTGCTTAAGTTCTCAGTGAAATATAAAATCCTTCTTTATAGGACTTATTCCGTATACATTTTTGGAACAGCTTATTTTGGAATTTACCGGGGCGGGATTTTAAACAGTAATTAGAAAGTGTTGTCGTTGTTCACATCCTTGTTCACATCGTTGTTCAGTGTTGTCATTGTCCGAACATACACTACGTGCATGTTCTATCATCTTAACATGATTTATTCACATAATTGCGACTTAATCAATATTTTCCTATTGGCATTACTGTTGAACTAGGTTAATGGTATATGTTTATTTTGCAAACGAATATTATTCTTTCTAAATGTACTATGGAATTTTATTTTAACTGTTCTGTATAAACGTTATGTTTTTATGTAAATATGTTCATGTTTATTCAGGGCCCCATGGAATACCACTACTATTGGTGATTGGGCTACCCTGACAAAAGATTTGAAATAAATAAATAAATAAATATAAATCCTTTGTCAGGGGCGGATCCAAAGCCCTTTTTTCTTCCCGAAAAAAATTGTTGAGTTTGCGGCATTCAGAAATGCCTCAGATTGTACCATAAAGCATCTAAGGTTCAAAATATCCCGTCACGCCGTATAGGCTTCTCGCAATTTGGTAAATTTTAGAACCCCCCCCCCCCCTTTTTTTTTGTGTGGAAAATCCTCAATCTGCCTCCGGCTGTGTGTAGGCATACTGGTCTTAACCTAGCTATTTTAATATTTACTACGCTGATATTGTTGGGTTGTATTTGGCAATCAATAAATTCTGACTTTTAAATAAACGATATTTTTAATCATTTTTGCGGGTGATTGGTTGCAATTTTTTCTCTTTCTTTTTTGATGTAAGAAAATCAAATAATACCATATAGCAGACCATAACCCCCACCCCCCCCCCCCCAAACAAAAAAAAAAGGCCAGCTATGAAACTAAAAGTAATGCCAATCACTATTTCACAATATACAATTTCTCTCCCTTGAGTCCCATTAACATCAATATGTTTTTTGTTTTTTTAATCATTGTCATCATTTTCATCACTATTATTACAGTTTTCATCATTAATATTTCTTTATTTCGTATGACTATACAACCGGAAGTGCATATTTGGCAAATTTGTCATTGCCGATCGCATAGAGCCGCCGACGTAGTACACGCCCACGTACCCGGCTTATGAATTATTCATTAGACGTTCCGCGCGTATTTGATAACGTTCACAGTCTAATATCCAGCCTAGATTATAAAAATGTCTATTGTTAGAAAAATAAGTGCTTCTAACTTGTTCATACAATATCGTGATTTATTAATACTTTTGAATATATTATCTTACATTATATACTTATTCCTGGGAAATTGTTTACTGATCTAAATTATTTATGGGAGGAAATAATATTATTGCGTCTGTATAATTAGACTAGCTATGTCTTTCTCGAGTCATTCAGACAAGTGAGGTCACAATGGAAATTGCGTACTTGCAATGTGGCTTAGATACACTGCGTAGCACTGTACTATACTTATGCACGTTATTGCATAATTTCTCGTGCAATTTCTTGCAACGATTCGCTGTTTCCCGAGCGTTTTAAGAGGTATTATTTTCGGAAATCATGAAGATTTGGAGTTCTGAACACGTTTTCCAGTAAGTATAACAATTTCCCTCTATTTTGTAATGATATTGCAAGGTTTACATGCATAGTATGCGTAAAAAAGGCATTTCAAAGCCGTTGTAAAAACGCCGGCATTCGTGACTCACGTGCATGACAGCTGTGTAGAGCCACACCGGCCAGGCCAGACAGCCAGGGGATACCGCCCGGTAGTCATGCTATACATGCACCGACTGCAATGCCTCGGCCCTAGCGCCCCTGACATGCCTTGGCCTGGCTGGCCTCTGGCTTAGCCTTCTTCTTTGCTATAAGTACACCAGGCCTTAACTTAAGGGCTAGGTAATGATATAAAATATGATACTGAATAATTAATATCACCAAGTCCAAGCCTTAATTGGGACCCGGTCTCATACCCGGTAACCCTGCGCCTGCGTAAAGAAAAGAGAGACTCGGAGTCGGAGACAGAGAGGCAGGTTTAAAAAAAAAGTAATAGGCCTATGCGTTGTAATCGCCCCTTCTGTCACCTGTCGAACATTGCACACTGGCTTTGGAGTTGGCTGGTGGACTCTTCTTTCTTCTCCTAGATCTACAAAGCACTCTGAAATAGGTCAAGAATTTACCCGACAATATGAGATTTTGATACCATTACCAGAGTGATACCTGATGATAACTAGTTGGCGCTAGTTCAGAATCATATCTCGGCGCTAGTGTACGTTCGTATCTATTTTTTACCCGTAACTCCGGCGTGGATATACCCTACAGTGTACTAAAACATACCAAAAATCAACTAAATCTTCATCAAGTTCAAATAATGGTCATCATTTAATAGTTATGTTTCTTATCATTTTTGGGGTATTTTTCCTAAAAATGAAGACATTATAGTTATAACTTTTTCACGACAAACCGCTGCACAATTACCATACAATTGATAACTTCATGCACCCTGGCGTGCTCGAATGTATATTATAATGTCTTTGTTTTTAGGAAAAATACTCCAAAGAAGATAAAATTGACACGAAAGGGGTAAGAAATAATACGTCTTTATATCATGACCTACTAGTACTAAAACATACCAAAAATTAACTAAATCTTCATCAACTGGTAAAATAATGGTCATTATTTAAAAGTCGTTTATGTTTCTTACCTGTTTCGTCTAAATTTTCTTATCTTTTTCTGAGTATTTTCCCTAAAAACGAAGACCTTATAATAAACATTTTCTTATGTAGTCTACAGTAAGTAATTCACATTAAGTCCATGATGATTATCATTGCGGTTGCTAACTTCATGCACGCCTGCACCCCAACGCATACTATGAATGCCCTCTGTGTGCATTCTAGGCCGTCTTATGATTGGGGAAAATAAAGTTGCCATATTGAATTCTTTCAAAAGTTTAGTAACATTTGATGTAATCTACCCTCAAAACTGTTCACTGATCCAAGATAAAGGATGATGTACATGTACCTTGCTCGTACATCTACATGAGCGATGTGTCCATTTAGCCTGATTCTTACTGTACCTTGTAAGCCTACCCTATTTGCCGGCGTAAAGGCCGCAGTATTTTTGGAAGAGAAAATATCAAAAAGTCGGGGTGCAGCCTTTGCGGCGAAAGAGTTTTTAAAAAAAAAGATCGGAAGTCAAAAACACGAATTTGTACATATGGGACAACAATGAAAGGTGATGGACATTTCTAGAATACCACATGTCTTACCGACAATTATGTGTTATATATTTTAAATGAAGGGCAAAGTTTTGTCAATCTCGTAAATAAAATTGATAACTTACCAACCAAACTCTACTGGTAGATCTAGATCAAAGTTTTTGCCATAGCTAAAGCAAACCTCAATCCTCAGATCGCGCAAACAAAGCTATGGTGCAATGTGCATACACAAGAAAAAGCCGCATGAGAAAGCATCAGAGTCGGGATAGCCGAGCGGTCTAAGGCGGTGGTTTTGGGTCCCAATCTACATTTGTACGCAAGAGTTCGAAACCCGCCTTCGACAAAAGTTTTTTTTTTTTTTTTTAAATGTCAAAATCGGGGGTGCGGCCTTATCGCCGGCAAATACGGTATACACCGTAGATTCACACTTTTCACACCCATAAATCTGAACACCAATAAGAAATTCTAAAATCTCTCACATGGAGGGCAGAAATATTTTGAGTTTTAGTTAGTGGTTGAAACTCATTTAGCACCTAGTAGTCTTTGTCCATCAATTAACTAAATCCCCCCTCTCTCCCTCTGTCTCTCTCCGTCTCTCTCCCTCTCTCTCTATCCCTCTCTTTCTATCCCTCTCTCTCTCTCTCTCTCTCTACAGCCATCCGTGGGAGACAGTCACCCAAGCCGCCTGGAGGAAGTACCCCAATCCCATGAACCCCAGCGTCATCGGGATTGACGTCCTTGACAGGAAGGTAGATGAGAGGGGTCGTCTTCACAGCAGGAGGTTACTCACTACTGAGTGGGGTTTTCCAGGCTGGGTCAGATCGGTAGGTACCAGTCAAAGTTATGTACTTAGAGCAGGGCTCAACTTTAACAGGCATCAGACACACTTGCCCCCATCCCTCCCCTCCCCCAAAATGGGTTTTAAAAATACAAAATAATGACAAAATATATAAACTTGCTCTAGGCTCTCAAAATTTCAAGATTTAATCCCGGGGGCTCATGTATAAACCTTTTAATATATACTGGCCAATTGTGGTGCCCACTTTAATGGACCACGTTTTCCATAAAATTTAATCACTTTTTGCCTTTGATCCGACATTTTCTCTATTCCTCTAGGCTTCATTTTTATCTTAGTTAAGGGTTGGAGTTGGTGTTAAGATTTGAGGTAAGAGATAAGTTTAGGGTAAGCAAAAAGCTTCAATACACCCAAAGCTATACTAGAACTTTTTTGTACAATTATAATGATCAGTCCTGTACTTATATTTTAACTCAAACTTTCTTATTTCATGTGTAAACCAATCTGAGTATGAAATTCAGTTGTGAAGTTGTGAAAAGGTGGATAAAATTCCACAAATGGCAAATGTTTGGAGAGTAAGCTTTAGTAAGAATTTATGTTTTTCTTTATGTGTTTTTTTGACAGCTGATCCCTGAATGTAATTGTAATTAGTGTACATGCAAGTTTCTTATAATCTAGATACTGTATAGTACTGTGAATAATTTACCTCCAACTCTGCTTAAGAAATAATTGGAATTGTAGTTACCCGGTATGGAAAAGAGCTGTTTTGAGTGCCACCTATGAATAGCAAATTGTATTACTCTTTACATTTGTTGGTGAATTACGTATCATGTTTTTAGATTATTTTCCCTGAATAAAGATTTTATGATTACGTGACTAGGATTTTAACCCCGTCTTTTCAACTTTTGATTGCAGTTGGTTGGTCTACAGCCTACATGCTACGGATCAGAATACTCGATAGTAGACCCTAAGGAGAAGACATTCACTGCTAAATCTGCTAATGTAAGTATGTATACATATTAATCTAGGCCTTGTTTTATGAAACATTTGCCACAGGTCTATGATAAATTTACTCACAACCATTCCAACTCATTGATTTTGGTAGCTTATATTAATTTTTATGGGTTATCATTGTTGATAAGTTGTATTAAATAACCCTCGATAGTTGACCAGCATTGAATAACTCAAACCAAGTTTACCATCAACAGTTTTTGTCTTAAGATAAATCAATGAAAGTGAATAGTTTTTAACTGAATTTTACACTTCCTGATACAAAATTCTCTACTCATGTAAAACACATGATGCATTTGGAGAGTAGTAGAAGTTAGGTGAAAACTAGGGGGAAATGGTACCAGCAAAAGATTTATACTGGCCAAGAAACAGATTCTAAATTCCTTTTGAGGCATGGGACCTTGAATATAGATCATGTTGTGTTTCATATTTGTAGGGTTAGAAATTTCTGTAGGCAAGCATACCGGTACATAGATGTATGTACACAAAAGTTTTTGGTGGATCAAGGCAGAAAAATGTATGGAAACTGTTGCCATAATTAATTAGACAGGTTGCACATCAAAGTGAGAAATTAATTAATGCCAAAACCCCACCCCCCCCCCCCCCCCCAAAAAAAAAAAAAAAATTAAAAATGATGATATATACCGTAAATCTCTGTGTATAAGACGCACATTTTTTCCACCGGAAAAAAATAAAAAGTCGGGGGTGCGTTTTATACACAGGTACAGGATATTTTGAGTCCACAAAATGCTACTTTTTAGTGGTTTTTGAAAATCTCTGTGTCTCAACATGAATTACATAATGCGAATAAAGATAAAGAATAGGATCTACTATTTGAAGTTAAACTACATTCCTAATTGAAGGGAAGAGAATTTTTTTTTCTTTTTTTTCAGTCTTGATAAATTATACCCCTTCACATGCAGCTCACTCGCATTGAGGATATCGACTCACCACTCAAAATCTAGCTTGTCCAAATTTCTGTTTGGACTAGGGGAAAATTTCTCTGTAATCTTTAGTTTAAAAAAAAATATTGTTACTATTATTTGTGACAAGTTCACAAGCACTTCAACTGCGCCTCGTGATAAATTAAAGTCCTTCCTGGCCCTGCATGGCTTGATCTTGGTCGTAAAAATAGGGTGCATCTTACACACAGAAATTTACGGTATTAAGTTATTTTGGTAGAGCTTTGATCATGATCAGAAGTGTGTGGAAGGGTAAATGGAATTCATAAACTACTTTTAGATTAAATTATTTATTTAACTTTTATCGTCGGAACTTCATCATAAGTGTACATGTACTTTGAGCTGCATGTACATGTAGGAACAGAATGCCTTGGACCATTCACCTCTGTTCCGCAATAACACACATCATGTACCAGCTTTTATTATGTCTTGAGTCTGTCTGTCTGTCTGTCTGTCTGTATGATTCCTATACATTACCAAGTAGTGTGGAGTTTTGAACCCATTTTATACCAAGTTGTCATTTTATTTCATGTTTGATTTGAATCCAGCTCAAGTACATTTAGGGCTATTAAATTCACACATAAATATAAATTATATAAGATATAAATTATTGGATGTAGTTAGTAGTGTATGGAACAGAATAGCTTGGTATTCCCCTTTACACAGTCGAGACACATAATTTGCATATTTTGTACACTTGTTGTTGTCATTGCTGGTGACTAAAATCAATCGATCATATCAGTTAGTTGATCTGTTAATTTTTTTCTTCTTCAGATTTCACTTCATAGTTATGTTTCTATCGATGAGAAATTAGTATACAAGCCACATCCCACCATTGAGAATGCGTAAGTATACTTAGGAAATGTAGCTCCCTCAAAACATATTATTGTCCTGAAAGACTTGTTTTCGTGTTGGCCTGCATGGTCCTTTGCAAGTGAATTCAAATAGAAAGAATATATGTTCCAATAGAAAAGACTAAAAAGTTGCTGTAGAGGCAGATTTTGTATCCATTGTTCATTGAGAGATGTTTTTGGCTCACCCAGTTTCGCATCAGTGGGTTCACAGAAAAGGGGATTGGATCTATTGACCTGTTAAAATTATAATAATAATAATAATAATCCGGTTTTTTATATAGCGCTCAATACACCGATCCAACGATGTACCTAAGCGCTTTACAGATATATTATTACCCCGGTCATCGGATTCAGGCTTACCCGCACACAATGTGTGCACATTTTCCACTCCCTGGGGAGCATTCCAGCCAGTCGCCATTTTACAGGCGACTGCATGATTCCATACATAATATCCGTAGGGAACTGTAGTTATCCATTAAGTTAAGAAAATCATGTAAATTTGCAACCATTTAACTAACAAGAACATGTAATTGCCAAAATATGAAATACCGCTTTCTGATTTTGTTACAGGAATTATAACTGCATTGGATGTTGTCATTTAAGCAACTGTAGTATTCCTAATTGAGGTTCTAAGTATTCATTCGAACACTAAAATTGTAATTTTGGTCCGATGTATTAAGCCTTATAGCTAGCGTATAGGCACCATCTGCTTTAAATTGTAGACAACTATATGAACGGTCTGACGTCAGTTTGATTCAGAACCAATTAGGCCTTTCTTTATAGGAGGCTTGCAATAGTCTGGAATTTGTATTTATTTATTATTCACTATTCAGATCTTTGATTATGAATATTTAAATGTATATGTTAAGTGCTGTTGCAAATTCTTCCAAAATCAGATTTCAGTTGGATGGTACACTGTGCATTGGCAGCCTTTTCACACACAGCTAAAATTCTATCAACATGACTAGTATAAACGTGTTTCGAATGTGTTTAAACTAATCACGAGCCTTTCACACACAGAAATTTCGTTGCGATCGTTAATATTTTCGTGATTAACTACTGCTCGTAAAATGCGCAGTAGTGCCATTGCGCATTGAAGGTCATGTCATGTCAATCAAAGCGCACGCTCCTTCCAGTTTAAACACGTTTAAACACGAATTTCCTTTCACACACAAAATGTCAAGCTCTCTAGATACGAACTTCGTATCTGCAGCCTGCTTTTAGGGGCGTATGGATCGCGACTTCGTATCTATCCCAACATCGTATAAACGATGTTCACACTGGGAAATTTTGTCTATAAACATGTTTAAAACTGTTAGGTGATTCTAATCCTCTCTAGATACGATGAATTTTAGCTGTGTGTGAAAAGGCTGTGGGTCAAACAGAACTAGCCACTTGTGGCAATCTAACTCACTGGTTCGTTACCCAAATACAATGAATGTCCTTCATGATATCTTTGTACAGGACACTGTTGACACAGGAGGCTACAGTTACAGTGAAAGGATTGGGTTTGGCTGGCCAGTTAGAGAAGATGGTCACAAGTACTATCTCATCCAATGCAAACAAGGTATGTGGCATTTCTATATTTATATATCTCTGGCATTGGTCTTCGGGGGGGGGGGGGGGGGGGGGCAAATTACTGTGATTTTACCGATATTTTAAGAGATAAAATGTGTAAAATACATGTTATCACTTTGATCGTGAGTGAAAGTTTTCATTTGCACAGCAAAAAACCAAGAAAGAGCTGAAATTGATTAGAATAAGAAATGGAATAAAAGGCATGAACATATGAAACATGGTATTATGTTTCAGTTAGTACAAATACAGCTTTCCTCATGTTCTTTACTTACTATTCAGATGGTATTTGTGTCGTATTTGTAAGGCAGATATTTTGTTGTTGTTGAAGGGTCATTCCATGTCAAATCACCCAATGGTTTTAACCCAACCATTTTTTATTTTGATGAAACTTAGTGTACTTGTTGAGTGTGATCTCACAGCACTAAATCCCAAATTTTAGGTCAATCGGGTGAGGGGTTTGGGAGATACGGCCCACCAAATTTTGAGATTTTTTCAAAAATGGGGGTGGCGGGCCTACCTTTTAACCCTTGTATTTCGGGACCTAATGGGTCAATCTTCACAAAATTTGTATTGTTGGAAAGGTTATTCAATAAGGATTCCAAATCTGCCGCCATTTTGAAAATTCGTACATGTTGGGGTACTTTGACCTCTTGACCTAAAATTTGACCTTGAAATTGACCTTGTGGATCACGTGACCTTGACAACATTTTTCATGAAATGTAATCTCTGACATGTTCACTAAAACATATAAAAGTTTCAGAGATATAATATTTTTGGTTTAGGAGCAATAAGGACTGAAAGTATCCATACTTACAGATATTCACAATAAACCCTATTATAATGTATACAATACATGCATATGCACAGTACAACATACATCTTCCACATGCTTTTTTGTTCTAGGCATATCCATTCTAGAAATAAAATGACAAGTTCATATACGCCTAAAGGGTTAACAGGATGTATGGCTTTAGACATCTGAGTTGGTTCTAGGATAATTACCCCCCTGGAAAATTAACCCCCAGGAAATGTTCCCCCCCCCCCTCTGAGGACAATTACCCCCCGAGGACTATCACACCCAGAGGACAATTAGCTCCTAGGACCATCTGTCCCCCCCCCCCCCCGAGGACAATTACCCCCTGGACAATTACCCCCCCCCCCCCCCCCCCCCCCTATTCGTTAAAGGAAAAGTTCATCCTGGTACTAAGTTGGTTTTAATCAAAGCAGATTTTTTTTGGGGAGGTAATTATCCTTGAAGGGTAATTTTCCAGGGGGGGGGGGCAGATTGTCCTAGGAGGTAATTTTCTGGGGGGTAATTGTCATCTGTGTGTGATAGTCCTCGGGGGGTAATTGTCCTCGGAGGGGGGGGGGGGGACATTTCCTGGGGGTTAATTTTCCAGGGGGGTAATTATCCTAGAACCGATCCTTTAGGCCTATATGAACTTATCATTTTATTTTTATTCAAGTACTGCTGACATTTAGAATGGATATGCCTAGAACAAAAAAGCATGTGGAAGATGTATGTTGTAGGCCTACTGTGCATATTGCATGTATTGTATACATTATAATAGGGTTTATTGTGAAGATTGACCCATTAGGTCCCGAGATACAAGGGTTCAAAGGTAGGCCCGCCACCCCCATTTTTGCAAAAATCTCAAAATTTGGTTGGCCGTATCTCCCAAACCCCTCACCCAATTGACATAAAATTTGGGATTTGGTGCTGTGAGATCACACTCAACAAGTACAGTAAGTTTCATCAAAATCAAAAATGGTCGGGTTAAGATTTTCAGATTTTTGGGGTGATTTGATATGGAATGACCCTGAACATCTTGTAATATTTGAATTAGATTTTGTCTGTTATCTTTATGATTATCAAAACTATTGAAATTCAATTGAAAATTTATGTTTAAATTTACTTCTTATTTGGCATATTTTGGTGGATAATAATTGAATTATCTTTATCTCTCTTTCCTTTTCCTTTGCTGTGTGTCTTCATTTAATCTTCTGCAGGGACGTGAAGCAATGGAATGGGTCATTGACACCATCAACAGGGAGATGACAGATCTGGCGTCCACGGCCAAGAAAGGTATCGAAGATCTTACCAGTGGTATAGAAAACATAGAGTTTGATTGACAAAGGCTTTGACCTGTGTAGTAGCTAGAGTATTTCATGTTGTCAGCCGTTATTGACGGAATATCACAAGTCCACCACTAGAAAGAGAGGTAGAGAGAATGGTAGGGGCAAGTCCATGCTATACGTTAATAAGCTGTGTAAAACAACAAAACTTTTCTGTTTACAGGAGTTCTTTTGAGATTTGTTGATAAAAAAGCGTAATTTTAACATATAGCACAAAATAGCTTGAACTTGCCCTGTTATGTTTGTTAAACTGTCTTCCAGTGCATAAAGTTACAGAGACTAGACTATTGAGAAACTATGTATGACAGTATTAACTTTTATTGTGTCAGTACTGTAAGTTAGGGGAAGTATGAATTGAGATGGACTTCATTTTATAGCTCAAATGATCACACACCAGTGGCAACAAATGAATGTACCATTGAGCCAGAAGAAAGCTAGAGACATCGGAAAGTAATGTATGCTCTTAGCCTCTGGTCATGAATTTCATTACCAGCTCAATGCTTAGTCCTTAGACGAAGCATTTAATCAACTTCTCTCTCTCTCTCTCTCTCTCTCTCTCTACTTACATGTAAATACCTAGGTGTAGTACCTATGGGTATGTGGCTATTAGTATGTACATGTATGACGAGGAAAAAGCCACAGTAATGATGACAAGCTATTTATTTCTCTCTTGGCACAAAGGTGCTGTGTAGATTTAGTTATTGTTGCTGGTGGCAATTTCAGTCGCTAGTGGTGTTTTCCAACAATGTGAGATGCTGTTGTATGATACAGTACCTGGCATTTAGATGATCTCAAATCTGTATGATCTGAGTGGTAAGCTGATAATCTACCACTGTAATACAGGTTAGAGGATAAAATAAGGATGCCAAAGACAGATGTTCTGTTGGTGGAAGATTACAGTACAAAGTACTTGGGGACAATATCTATGACCATTTAAAAATATATTATTGGTCAAATCTTGAAAAGTGTGTGAATTTTTAGATTGATATCAAGAAGGATATTGTCCACTATTTTGTATTTGATATACTTTGTGAAAGAGACAGATAAACTTATCAGTTATCAGTGGCTTGCGTATTTGGTGGACTTGTGATAGCTATTTCATAATATACATGTATATATATAGAAAGAGAATATTTATTTGTGATAACAAAAAAATGAAAAGGACCAAAAAAAACACGAAAAACTAGTCAAATGAAAGTCAGGAGATAGGTGATGTGTTTATGAATGGATAATTCTTACTAGAATAATTTGTAGCTTCTTTGAAAGTTTTTGATGTGTAAAATTGAGGGCAGTTTGCGTTTGAGTCACTCCAGGGTATTTGGAGAATTTTGTTTGACCTTTTGATGTCCAGCCACTCAATATATTGTAATGAAGAACATGTAAATTATTTTTAATTAGATTTTTAAAAAAAAGGTAATTTCAGAGGGTCTATCATCTTGTTATATTGTATAATATGATATAATACAGGTATCTATTACAATCTTCTGGAAACAGTGATATCTTTCTTCATGTCACATCAACAGTCACATATTTGAGCAACAACAAAAAGTAAGGAATTCTTGATTTTAATGTGCCTTTATTTATTTATAAAGTGGGATCTGACATAAAAAAGATACTGCTGTAGTGATTGACGATATGACTAGTTTTTCCATAACTAATGAAGGTGCTCTAAGATATTGACAGATAGCAAATTGATATTGACTTCTTTAATGTGATTTGTATCAAATATGAATCAGAAGTTCAAAACATGTTTTAAGCACTCGCTAGTTTTGTGACATAATCTGTACAGGCTGTGTTTTCTATGAACATCCTATCATTTTAGTGATGCCAATCTAGGATTGAGTTTACAAGGATTAACAAACCTTTACATGTATTTGAAGTATCTTCATTTTAGTTTTTTTCACCAATTTGTCATAATTATAGTTTTATTCAGAAATTTATTTTCTAAAGGTTACATTCCAGCAAAGCTGTAAGATGTGTATATTTAGAACGGTGATATATTTGATGCTGTGATTGTTATCGTATTTAAATGCTTTTGTAAAGGTGGAGGGAAGTTTTAAGCAATTCTTTTATGAGACGTACACCTGTACCTGCAAATAGTAATTCATCATTTTAATCTTTGACCATTGAAATAATAAATAGGGCCATCCCAAATATGAATATCACTTTTTTTAGTAAATCAAATCTATCCATGATTGTGTGAAAATTTAATGAATACTCAAAAGGAATTCTGTAGTGTAATCATGGTGTTATTCTTAATTGATGGGTCATTATGGTTCTTAGACTTTTTTGTGAAGAAAGTTGTTCTCACACTTGACACATTTCCATGATAATAAAGTTGGATATTGTTGTGTGGCTGACAGGAGGGCATTAGTGCCCATATCTATTCTGAAATTCACCTGCTAATACCTTATGCAAGGCCCATAACAATATTTCCAATACTTTTCATTGTGTGCCAGCACTACATTGACATTTTAATGGAATGTTGGAGCCATACCAACAGTAATATACCGTAATATACCGTATGTGAATTAATAAAGTCTTCCAGTGTGAATGTTGGTGTTCTAAGTTGTAGGGATAGCCCTACCTTCGTAAAAAGATCATGTGACTGTTGAGATCAAAATATTTGCATATTTTTATTTCTCTGTTAAATTATATACATGGTGGTTTAATTTTGTTAGTGCTCCATCTGTTGGTAGCTCTTATCAGTACAGTGTCGCCAGTTTTATTTATATTTTACTGAGTTAGGTTTGAGATCAAATTTGTTAAATTTCATTGGCATGAAGTTCCTTGAACATTGTAGTGGATTGATTTGCAGTAAAAATTCAAAAACATTTAATATAATCTAGTGCTTTGCTAAATTTGATAGATTTGAAGTTATGAAGATTGTTCCAGCTTAGATAGTTTTTACTTGATTCTCAGGGCTTGTAATATGTATATTAGATGCACTAGGCTATGAATTTGTGTGGGTTGAATGGTTTCTATTTCAGTTCTATATATTCATTTGTGCTTTGTTTGAATTCAATCATGACATCATTTTTGTGTAAATCCATTGATCCAATTATGTACTATCACTTTTCTCTTTTTTCATTTTAATGTATTACAAAATTATTTCTTTACCTTGCCAATAGTTTCAATCTTTACTTTCTTTGATTACTTCAAAGTGCTTTTATATTACGGAAATTCTGTCGGTGTAAAACAAGTACAGTTCTGTTATATCGAGGGAACTGATGTTTCATAACGATGTTCTTGTTTTACCCCGGTACTGCTCTAATGATAATAATTAATAATTTTGTTTAATAGTTTATTATTATACTTCTGGGAAAGTCTTAGTCATATTGTTATTACTGAGAATTAATGTGGAGTTGTATTTGTCACACACATATTGATACATGTATACTGCTACAGTATTAGAGAAATATGACTATTTCTAAGCTCCCAGTATGGAAGTTGAGTTTACAGTGGTTAAACCTGTCTATGGCCTGTATCCTACTCTTTCACGTATACCTGACATGAGAACTATTGTTAAACTCCACTTTAGTCTGAGCTTAAACCCGTTGTCTGATTTAAATTTTAGTAGAATTTAACCTATGAAGTTAAAAACTAAAGAATGACCCGTTTTTCAGTGGTCTTATTGGCTGAAAGGTTGTTGTGTGTCTGTCAAACAGATGAACTGGGCCATTGTAAACAACCAATTTTTTTTAACATTGTTTACAAAAAAAATATTAACAGGGAAAAAGGATATTGTAATATTTTATCCCAGTCTGCGACAAATTCAATTAAATACCTTTCAGATCAATATTTAGAACATGAAATGGGATATGATGTGCTCATCAAGTGTAAACATTGGATGTTAACACATATTATCATCAGTTATTGTGATGGAAAAAACACATTTAATGTCATATTCTAAAAAATGCTATACTATTTTGATGTGATGTTGTGAGAGTTATTGATGACTATGATCTTATTACATCTGGTACATGAAATCTGTAAAATTGTGCAAAAAAATGCAATTTTGTGATTGTACTGTTTTAACCTTTACTCAAAAGAAATATGGGTGTAAAATATGCAAATAAATTGGAATTGATTAACTTTTAATTTTTCTTTTAACTTTTAATATTTTGATTGCAATTTGTGTGTTTGTTTGACTGAGTAACCATTTACGGTCCCCTGTTACGTTACAGTATTCAATTATTGACTTACATGTTAGGACAGTTGCTAGTATCTAGAGCAAGTTTATGGCAAAAAATAGTTCATATAATGAGTAGTTTCCCCGTTTGTTTGTTGTTTTTTTTTTTTTTTTTTTTTTTTTTTTTTTGGGGGGGGGGGGGGTCATTTTGGGGGGACTTAGTGTTTTCATTAATATATTAGAAAACTACAGATCTAGCATGTTTAAAGTCCAAGTCCACTCCAAAAATAACTTACTTTCAATATAAGCAGAAAAATCAGACAAACCAATCAAAACAAGTTTGAGCAAAATTGGATAACTAATAAGAAAGTTATGAATTTTTGATCTTTGAAAATCACAAGACAAATTGGCAACTCACTCATGAGTCTGTGACGTTATGGCCAAAAAAAATTCATATAATGAGTAGTTTCCCGTTTTTTTTTGGGGGGGGGGGGAGGGGGGGTCCTTTTGGGGGGACTTAGTGTTTTCATTAATATATTAGAAAACTACAGATCTAGCATGTTTAAAGTCCAAGTCCACTCCAAAAATAACTTTCAATATAAGCAGAAAAATCAGACAAACCAATCAAAACAAGTTTGAGCAAAATTGGATAACTAATAAGAAAGTTATGAATTTTTGATCAATGAAAATCACAAGACAAATTGGCAACTCACTCATGAGTCTGTGACGTCATGTCCTCACTATGCACTAATTATTTTCTTTATATTGAAAACATAAATTTCCTATGTTCTCTCTATGACTCTTATTTCTTTACACCAGCATCCAATTTAGATTGATAGTAATATATTTTCGTGTTGATGCACTAGTATAGGGAATTTTTTTCCAGTTAAATCATGAAAAATGTGAATTTTGATAAACTATTTATATAAAAATCAATAATTATGAATATACAATAACTTCAGAAAATAGTATCAATTCTTCAAATTTCATAACAGATTTTGTGAAATATCATGCACGCAATATGATACAAGTCATATAACCTGGGCAAAGGCATAGGAAAATCAAGTTTTGGGGATAAAAAGGGAAATTAATGGGATTATTTTAAAACTATATAAAGCAAATAATAAATAGTGAGGACATAACGTCAAAAACTGACAACCCTATTGGCAATTTGTGTTGTGATTTTCATTGTTCCATAGTTTTACATACTTTTTCAAAAATTCATGACTTTCTTATTAGTTATCCGATTTTGTTTAAACTTTTTTTGATGGCTTTGTCTGATTTTTCTGCTTCTATTGAAAGTAAGGTTTTTTTGGAGTAGACTTGCCCTTTAAAGGAAAATAGCAGCTAACTCAGATAACCAATGCAAAATCAAGTGATTATTCTATTGACATTCTCCTTTAGCTTTAATACCAGCCTCTAATCGTGGTTCAATATTAATTTGACCTGTACAGTAGGTCCAATTTGCTATTAGTGTGCGAAATGGAATCAAAAGACAAGTGTGAGAGGTTTTGGAGGGTAAGCCCCGAAACATCTCAGTGTTTGGACCAGTCACAAAATTCAAACGGTCGGAATGCCTAAAAATTTTCAGTTATTTTTATAATTACTATGTTTTGGTATAATTGTGTACAGGGGT